AGATATTTTCAAAGTTATATCAAGTTTATTAAGGCTTTTCATTTGTGACTTATACCAAATATAACAATTAAACTCGGTTTATCATTGACAATAACGACATGAAAACTCTTAAAATACCTGCGTTAATGATAAAGAACTATTCATAGAACATTTCAATATTTTTAAATGTCAGACAATAAGTATTTAAATCGTCCTCTTCTTTGAAATAGAAAATTATGAAATATTATGCAACCTCAGTTAAAACATTTATAAATGCATTAATAAATGTTCTATGGTCTTGGTCAATATTTACCTTTCCTGACTATGACGTAAAACGTGATCAATGTAAACGTTTTATTGAGATAACGAATAACCTCTAACAATACTTGGTATATAAAATTTATGAGATTTTATATGTACAATACATTTATCCAGTATTTAAAAGAAACATAAAGTAGAGACTTATTATCTACTATTTACAAATTTAAATATTGACAGTAGTTTTCAACTGTATATTTTTCATCTTCTTTGTACAAAAATTACGATAATCAGAAAGATCATTCATACTTAGTTAGAGACTACCAATAAAATGGAAGCTTTCGTATTTTAACTTATTTACATGTAGAAAATGACAATGCGAGTTGGATGAAAACAAAATTTTATGACAAAAGGTACGATTTCAGCTTTCCAATTGTGAACTGTTCATCTGTGTGAAGCAACATTTCAGCATCGTCTGCATATGGAGTATAGATCTCCCAGTTTATATGATATCCCTGAGCTGGCTTTCCTGTCATGATTTCGTTGATGGAGGCCTATGGTTACTTTTTGCATGGTATTGCATCAGGGGACAAATGGTAAAGTAGAAGTCATTCCTTAGAAATGTTTTACAGACGCCATCACGAGTTTGTTGTTGACCGTGCTAGATTATTTGTGTCACAGATGACCATTCGATATGTGGTTATTGTCGTAATCATTACATTCGTCGTCTTTCCTCGATTGTGACATTACCGGATGAGACTTATCACCGAATCTGTAGTTACCTTGATGCCACTGGTGGAGTAGGGTCTGTTTACCCTTTCAGAGCACATGAGGTCACCACCAGTTTATGGTGGGGTTCGTGTTGCTCAGTCTTTAGTTTTTGAAGCAATGATTCTAGTCAGTTTCTCTAGACTCATGAGTTTTAAATGCCCCTTGGTATCGTCCATCTCTTTTGTCAGAATGATTTTTTCCTTTTTTAACATTTCAAATGTTATCTTTTACGTCATTCGAGGAAAACTAAGTTTTATTTTATTACTCTAAAAATATTTCTGTTTAAAATATATATGTAAATATTGGTTTTGCTTTAAGGTGCCAAATTGATAACTACCGACCTGAGTCAAACTCTTTCATTTAAAACATTGTAGAATATATACAACAATAACACAAGTTCTTTAGAATACAATGAGCAATGCATGAACTCATAATAATCTATCATTTTTTTATGCGTGTCTAAGGACTATCAGCCATGTCATTAACCAACGTGATGACCTGAGAAGACTGTCGATATAAATACAAATATCAATATAAAATTCAAACGAAATGATATACTTACAAATGCCTTGGTTGTTTAATGCATATCATTGATTGAAAACATAACTAAATTATCGTTTTACCAGTACATACAATTAACGAAATGGTTTTTCTTGTTGGCTTCTTTTCTTTGAAATAACAAATGCACAACCAATCTATAATTAAGAATCAAATCAAAGGTTGCATGCACACAAACTCAAACCTTTACCTTTTGTTGTCTTGGTAAATAAGAATCTCTCAATGATTGGTTTGAGCTTATTTTTAAGAAATCGAACCAAACTGCCTACTTATAGCAAATCATTAGCTTAATATTCCACTTATGTAAATGTAAAAAAAAAAAAAAAAAACATAAACATTACTGATTTTTCCTTATTACTTTGTCGTTAGCATAGCTAATGATGCTTTAGTGTGACTTATTGAATGTATGCCTGCCATGGGCTACACGATAAGTACATAATGTGGAGCCTGATCTGTATTTACTTCTAAGGCACATCTGAGTGCCCCTTTGTTTTGCAAGGGTTCGTGTTGTTCAGAATATAGGGTTCAATTTAGTGTGTTGCCAACTGTTGCATGTCTAAACGTCGTTTTTTTTCTTCTTTTCTTTGCCATGCTTTTGTTGTATTTAATTTTTAAATTTAGCATGAAGACAATGGAAGTGTATCAATATCGATTTAAGATATGAATTTCTAAAATTTTATATGAAAATTTGATATTGGCTATTCATGCGTTCTACTTAACATTACTTAACAGTATTATAAACAAATTCATTTAAAATTGAGCAGCAATATAAATTCTTATGAAATAAGGCTACAAATGGAAGTGAACCATGTGTCCTCCAGAAGTTAACTGTTTTTAATGGAAAATACATATTTGGAAAGGTAATTAACGTTTCATGTTCTAAATGGCTAAAATAAAGCAACAGTAGTTTACCGATATTCCAATCACATAAATCCATGCAGAAGATACGCGGATTAAAGATTATTTTATTGACATTATTGAATGAGATAGCAATTAGATAGCAAATGAATAAGATAGCAATAGAAATACCAATTAAAGTAAATAACAATTAAATGAGAAAACAATTCAAATTATTCAAAGGATGTTTAATTTACGTTATTTGGGGTCATTAAAGGTTAAAAAAAATGTTGTAAAAGAAATCTAACAACCGGAGGGTATTGAGATAGGGTGGTAATAATCTATAGCTAAGCATCTGCTTAATCTAGGGGGGAATAATAAATGCAAATACTGTTTATAGATAATTTAAAAAGGTTTTTGTTTGGGTTATCTTATAAGTCCAATTTAATATGAGTGATTGCCAAATTTGATATTTTATTAACCTGATTTTTTAAAGAGTGGTTAATGTCAATGCGAAATTTTCTTCTTTGAAAAGTGTCAATTTGTGAAGTGTAATTTAACATAAATCATTAAAAGAAAGAGACTTCTCAACAAAAACTTATTTCAATGAGTTGGGTCTGTCTAGAAAATAATGATTTGTCAACTTGACAGGTTATTTGATTATTATCGATTGACCCTTTAACATTCCTATCGGTTAATTTGTCCGATAAGTCAAATTTTTGTTCAGCTAGTGTGCATGAAATCTTGTTTCGTTTACATTTTTTGACGTACAGATGTGGTTGAGGGCTCATATTAATACTCGGAATACCAGCAACATAATGTAGAGTGACTGAAGCTAGTATCATTCAATGTGATATGTCAATTTGCCCTTTATTGACAAGAATATAAAGGGAAATAAATTTAATAGATCGTGCGAGGGCTTTATAGCCAGTCAAGGTCGTTAAAAACCCCCATCATCATCATTTAATAGATACAGAGCATTTATCTATTGATGTGTATGTTGTTTTTTTTCTCGAGACGGAGATATTTGTTTTCTAAAAAGAATATATGATTTTTCTATATAAAGATGAATTATACAGAAAAAAGGGAAAATATCTTTAAAAAAATGAATAATATTTTTTTTTATATAAATTTCAGTGGCAACTATTTTTTTACTTCACACTTGAAATAATTTCTTTTTATCAAGAAATTTAGAAATCAAACACACCGACCATTTTGAAAAATCCCGAAAAAAAAAAACTTTTTCAAATCGATGTGGGACGTAATTTGCCCTCCATTTAAACTGTTTTAAGTATAATATTTCGCCAGATATATGTTTTAATATTCTCAATCGAGTTGCAAAGTATTACCTTTTTTTACGGAATTTATGAATTTGATGAAGAAGTAGACATGGGGTCGCTAGATTTACCATTGAGTCAACGGGAAAATGACAAGAAAAAGTACGATTTTTACGAATCTCCAGGGACGTATGTTAAACAAAAATTATACTGTCAGAACCAACATTTTTAGGTAGAATTATGTTCGAATACCAAGATTTACAAAGTTAGAAAACGGATCAGATTAATGAGAAAATTGAACTTTATTAAAGCACCTATGCATTTTATATAGGACACAATGACACAAAATGGTGGCTCGCTGCGTCACTAAAGTCACGTGATGTTTAACTTAATTGGATATGTTGACTTTGATAAAAACCCTTCACAAATCCGTTATTTTTGTATGTTTCGAGCATTGATATTTCAACGCAACTGGCACAAGTTTTTCATCTTTCTATATAAAGTTGACACCTAGTACGTTTCCAAAAGACTTCGTGCATTGCTTTTACACTAAAACTATGTTCTATTTTGGTAATAAAATGCCTTCTTTTAAACTTCTTTTAAAACCCGGAAGAAAATTTATATCACAGATTATTTTCACTCAATTTTCAAAATCGTATTTTGAAATGTTCATAAGTTTTGTTTTTTTTTTTTTTTTGTATGGTGAATAGGTTTTGTGTGACAAGTGTCCCGACTAGTTTTTAAGATATGTGTATGTTTTTGTTTAATAGAAAAATTGGCTCTAGGTGGGTTTTTTGCAAGTTGGGTCTGTTTTTTATATTGTTGAAGAATGACGAAATCATAAAAATACAGAGAAATGCATAAGGACTTCTGCATTTATTGAATCCAAATCAAAAATGAATTTCATACTTGTTTTCATGAAATTATACGTATCGTTAAAGGTTAATTATGAACTGGTATAAAATTCATTAATCATCATGATCGTTTCTAGTGGGTCCATGTTTTTTTTTTAAAGTCCTTCTGATAACATAGTGCACACTTGAAATATAAGTTCTTCAGTTTAATAATAAATCATACTGCCTTTGGATGAAGGTGTTAGGGTAATTAATACACTGAGTGAAAAAATTATCACCCGCAACTTCGTCTTGGGTGATGATTTTTTCCCTCGTGTGTTAATTTACCCTAACACCTTCATCCAAAGGCAGAATGTTTTTAATAATCTCCAACGTATTGTTATTTACCGGTTCGTCGGATACTATAAGTTACTCCATTATGTTACATACTTCGTAATCATGTTAAAATGATGTTTTTTTATCACAGTTCAGTACATACTATGTGAAAGCGAAAGTAGTCCATTACTTGAATGTTCTGCTGGGCGACTAATCATGGTCAACGACGCCAACTACGGTAGAACAGATTCCTTGAAATGTCCGCACAGCACTATTGATGCTTCCAAAACATACGATAGGACTACATCAGTAACTACTAGGACAAAGGAGAAATGTGATTTAAAGCAATCATGTTTACCATCAAAAAGTGGAGCAGGTGACCCCTACCAAGGGGTATACAAATATGTGAACGTGACTTACGAATGTCTTATCTTAGGTACGAATGTTTTATACCAAATATAAGATTCCAGAATCCATAAGAAATCCATAAATAGTGTTATACTGATTGTTTGGTTTGAACATTACTTAATTAAATAACTTTTAAGTAATTATACACCTGCTTACAATTGATTAATGATAGATACTAAATACTTCAGAAACACGTCTAATTATACACCTGCTTACAATTGATTGATGATAGATGCTAAATACTTCGGAAACACGTCTCATATTTTCATTTCAAACTGTCACATTAAGTTATATTTTACAGAATGTACATATTAAATGACGAAAATGCATTAGGTATTGTCTTAGGTATAGACATGAAACGGACATCAGCTCTGGTATGTCGCCTTTACACAAATTAAAATTCGTTTATTTAAAATGAGTAACACGTGTGTCGTTATAAGTTATAAGCCGGTAACCATTCCACCACCCATGGGTTCATTGATTTTTTAGGGTTATGTGATATTCAATTTTGAGTGTGTCTGTGTATCGTTCTGTTGTCGATGTTTATTTCTGTTTTTTTTTCTTTTCTTTTGGCAAGTTTTTTTTTTTTTTTTTGTCTTTCATTGGTGGTGGTTTCTTTAGTTTAAACAGTATTTATTAATGAAAAATTACAACAATAAAGTATTACAATGTTACATGAAATTCAAATATGGGATACGGAAACAAGTTTGGAAAAACATTTATAAATCCGTCTCCCCCAAAAAAATAACATCTATTTAACAAACAATATGACGTGCCAACAGTATATTAAGTTTAAGGTAACATATTATAAATTTGAATAAATACCAAAACAAAAAAAAAAACAAAAAAACTAACAAATAAAAAAAAAACAACGAAACAGTAAACTTACTTTCTTGATAGACAGTCACTGGAACCACCACACGTGTCCGATTGTAGTCGATTACGGGCAATCCACTCGATTTGACATCAATTTATATAACTAATAAAAACATATACAAGGTCAACTTTCAAAACGTTTTGTTTTATTTATATATTCAGAAACTCTATGAAATGTTTGCATATTGTCCTCATTAGACTTTAAACTGTCCCCATATAAGATAATCTTAAGATTAATACAAGAGACTGTCCCGATAGTATCCCTTCGAATTTCATTATATTTTGGACATTTGAAAAAGTAATGAGAGGTAGTTTCTACGTGACCACAGGAACACAGTGGTTTCTTTACCTTAACACTTAAAATGAAAACATCAATTTACGAAAACTTGATAGATAAATAGCATCATATGGTCATCAATAACGGAAAACGCTTCTAACGAATGACCGTATGGCAAATATTACATAGTTCAAAAATTGTGGATAAACGAAACTTATGGCAAAATTTCTCCGTTTATAAATGACCGTTACTAGGTTTTGGGTTATTTATTTAATTTTTGTTTAGGTTGTTTGTTTGTTTGTTTGTTTTTCTTACTGTTTTTATTTTAAATTGTTTAACTTATACATTTTGCCCTGTTTAAAGCACATCACTGGCACTAAGAAGTCGACATATGATTATTTTGTCAACACGCAGGTACTTAAGGTAGCAATATGCAGTTGACAAAACGTTAAAATTGACACACATAATTCTTAACCACCTTCTTTCCCATGCTTTTTAAGAAATTAAAGTTACTTTTAGTGTCATATATGTGCATAAATGAAAAGAGCATTTTCTTTAGATATGATTTCCAATAGCTAAAATCGTGAAATATAACTATGCATGGTGTAATCATGGAGACAATCTGAATTTTGTAGAGCCAAAATATTACAAAAAAGGGGGGTTTGAACATGTCACAATTGTCCCAAAGATTAGACCAAAGTATAATTTTAATCTATTTGAGGGATACCTTATCTAAAACCATTGACATTTATAAAGAGATCAAATAAAAATCATATGCATTTCACTTCATTTCTCCATTAAATGGTTTCGAATAGTTCAAGCGGAAAAAAATGGTTAGTAAACATTACAATAAATTCTAGACCTATGGCCGGTATGCATAAAACATTTTAAAAACAGTCCTGATGTTCCTATAAAACCACTGTGAAGACTTTATTGTTCTGCAGCTATCTAAAACTTAATTGTATAGCATAATTACTTTCGTATAAAAAAAATTCACAGGGGCTAAAATGAGAAACCACACTCATATTGCTACCTAAGGCTTTTGTTCAATGATTAGTAGCGTTTTTGAAACTTAATCATTATGTAGTATTGATTTACTTATACTTGGATTTAGTTGACTTTATTACGGGAATGCGATCGTATTTTCTTCTAGTACCTTTGGTATTTCACTAACACAACCGCAAATAAATTAATGTTACTATCTCAAATGTTGAACCTCGCCAGTGGTTGTCTTTAGTTTTATCTTTATTTTTTTCTCCTTTTAGGATAATAAAATCCTGGAAGAGAAAATACTTTTGCAAGATATAATCAATTGCAATATGCGATATTGTCTTACCAGAATACCATATGGCGTTTTAGCGTCTTAAAGATTCTTGTTTGTATTTTTCAGGAGGATGGGGAAATTGGGAACCATTTGGTGATTGCTCTACCACATGCGGAAAAGGAGTCCAGTCATTTCAGAGGAAATGCAACAACCCTGTTCCGGAAACAAATGAAATGTACTGTATTGGTGGTCACATACAGAACTTAGAATGTAACGCAATTACATGTCAAGGTTAGAAAGATTAACATAACAATAGAAAAGTTAAAAAGACACACATTTTCTTGCCTAAGATTTATTGGCTTTCAAATTGTTTTCATGAGACGGTTTCTATATTTCTAAACTTTTTTGTAATAAGCCGGCCAGATTTGCCACAACTTTTAATCAAGGGATATTTCTTTACAAAATCACAGTGTTTCTTGGTGCAAAGATTAAAATATTGATATATAGAAAATTGTCATTTCCAATCATTATATTGAAATCGATGTTTTTTTTGTTTTTTTTGTTTTTTTTGGATAACAGCTACGCGGATAAACTATGAGTTATCATGATTCGATTTGATTTGATTTTGATTTTTGGTGTTTTAACGCCATTTTTAAGCAATGCTTTTGGGCTATTCCGTGGCGGCCAGTTTTTATTGGTGGAGGAAGCCGGAGTGCCCGGAGAAAACCACCGACCTTCGATAGGAAAACTGACAATCCTAGTCAATTAAGATTGGAGTCGAGTGCACCCGCACGAGCGGGGTTCGAACTCACAACTTCAGTGATGACTGGCTAGTGATTACAGTAGTTATTACTCAGACCACTCGGCCACCGAGGCCCCTCATGATTCGACGAACGAATTAAATGATACTGTTATGTATGTTTCTTGCTGAGTTTTTTTTTTTTTTCGATCCGTGGACATCATAATTTTGAAGCATGGCATCTCATCAACAAAAATATTCTCTGAACAGAATGTTTTATTTGAATCAGTACAAGAAATGTTTTTCTGTTTGTCTAAAGATATGATACAGTGCTTTTAATCTTTTAAAAGGGGCATTTTCCCTGAAGATGAGAAAAATTTGGTAGTACAAATTATCACAGAAAAGACATTTTTGAATATTTTAAGCAGAATTATATTTGGCTATTTCTATAACGTCAACGTTTCCCATTTTAATGTACCAAATGCAAATTTCGACAATTAATGTTTGATACTCGAGAATAAAACATTCTCACAGTTCAAATCTAATGAAAGCGTGGCAGAGCTTTTTAAAAAAACACCTACAACAAGTGAATCCAATCTCGGACAAGAAATCAGAGCTATGACGGAGTGATATATATATTCCTTAATTAAAAACGATTTCGAAATTTTATTACAGCAAGTATCAATAAAACATAATTCGTATTTTCATACCAGTATCGAAGTACTGGCTACTGGGCTGGTGTTTCATTCGGAGAATAGTAATGACCAAACATAAAAGATTTTGATGAGGGAAACTCAGGAATCCAAAAAAAATTAATCGAAATGAAAAGATGATTATTTTACGCTTATCCGTTTTATTCTTAAGATTAAGATTTGTAAAGATCATAATGAAATTCAAGTCAATTTCTCAAATTATATTACAAAGCTGCATTTTGAGACAATATGTTTAATAATCAAAGTCTTTAATACCAGGTGAAATAAGAACTAAAGTATTGTTTTCCATGCCTATAACATTTTGTGTGAAAAATCCCTTCATCGAGTACGCGCGTAATAAAAAAAAATAAATGGGGACACAAGATATTAAGTGGTTTTAAACATTTTTTACATATTCAGAATTGACCACCTAGGTTTACAAAATGTATTAGAAATACTGAGAAAAGATTAATTTAGACAAATAGACACTTGGTCTTAAAAAATTGTAAAAAATAAGACATTTATACGTTGCAACAGGACAGGTTACTATAGCCTTACGATGAAATTAAATATTTTTTGTGCTTAGCAAAATTGGGTCGACATGATAAATTTTTTGTGGACTTTCGTACACATTTCGTTCATTTTACATGCAATTGTCACGTTCCGGGGGTACGCAACTGCTTTACTCTGGGTTTCGTACCAGAGTCGTTTCTCTGGATACAGTCAAGGCTCAAGAATTGGTAGCGTTATTTTATCAACTGAATATTCGGGTTCTCTTTATATTGATGCTGGGTGTCAAGATTAAGTAGACTTTGGGTATTAGACGATAAATGCCAAGGATGATAATGATAATGACGTCCCGGTTTGGTATAATGCTTTATTTAATATCTTGATATACTTTTGCTTAGCCAGTGCTTTCTAAAAGCAACGGATTATTAACTATATACTGAGCCAGTGCTTTACTTGTAGCCACTGCTTTATATCTACTTGATTTGGGCCAGTGCTTTACTTGTGGTAACTGCTTAATATATACTTTATCTGGGCCAGTGCGTGTGTTGATCTGTTTGGTCTGAGTCACTACTTTGCTCGTATTCAATGCTTCACCGTCTGGAAATGCTTTACCTTGTATACAGCCAATGCTTCTCTCTGAAGCCACTGCTTCTTCAGCAGCTATAATTAATTAATCACTTGGTTCCTTATTCAGGAACACTGCTTATAATTCTTATTCAAAACTCTACTTTAATCTCACCTTTATTCTGTCTCTTGTTAATAATCCAACTGCTCGGCTTGAATTCTAAACCCAGAACAACGTGAACTGTGAAAACCTTGGTATATATAGTAAATTGTAGACTCGTCCATACAATAGACTATTCCAGAAACGACTTTATCACTTAAACGTTTTGCAACAACTAAGCATATATGATATAACAAAGCACTATGGTGACGGTTATATACTTTGTAACAACTGATCATGGTCGTGGGAATTCCGGATTTATAGGTCAATTCCTGACCCAAAAACAATTACTAATCACCTAGTAAAATGTAAACAAATCGAAAGTGAAAGTAAAACAATGTGTAAATAAATGAAGGGAATGAATGATATTTCTTTCTGTTAGACTTTACAAATGAATTATAAAATAAGCAAGAACCAGGTAAGTTTGCAAATGCATCACATTACCCACGCCATCAAGAAATGCGTCCCGGCATTTACCAAAATCAATTGAGCACATCTACATCGAGTGGACATTTTTCAGTCCCAAACTCTATCCGGGTATTGCCTCGAGCCATGTCATTCAAAAATCACAATTCTCAATATCATTAAACAACTGTTACTTCTTCAGTAACTATTCACTAAAACAACTGTTACTTATTCAGTAACTAACAACTAGAACAACTCGTAGATGTATAATCTACCCGACATGACAAGATTCCCACTCAACTGTTTACTATTACTTAACATGGGCATCAACTTTATAAGTTAACTTTATCCTAAGAACCCTTAAATCGTTTTCCATCTGTATTTCAAATATGCATGCTGACAGATTTTTGAACAAGTAATCTTGACCATGAAAACCAACAAGCCAAATAGTACATTTGAAAACCACCGAAAATATCACAAAGCCAAAACCTGGTATGAAATAATTTTGCCTAACAACCGGCCACTTATGGACCACTCAAAGAGCTTGTTGAGAGGGATCTTTTACGTGCACAAAGCGTGGTTCTCCCTGAACACGGGACCTCGGATTTAACGTCCCCATCCGACGGACATCATTATTATATATTTAAAGAAACAAGGCATTATATATAAACAATAAAACACAAAAGTTTTCATAATTCTTGGAAATCTTTCTCCTTTAACAAGTAACTAAATATCTGTATTGTCTGTTCCTCGCGAACATTCACTTGTATATTAATCACACTATAAAGCTATCGAAATACGTATCCCGTCGGACTGATTACTGAATAGTTCTGTCAAGCCTACCTGGCTATGGTATTTGTATGCTTATTACATCAAATGTCACTTCATCTTTTCCATATTTCAGTTTCCTCTACATCTTTACCGTTTTCCTTGTATCTTTTCACCACTCTTCTCTCAACCAGCATCAACCCAGAGGTGGCCACTGGCCTGACAACCTGTGCTGGTACAGGGGTTGGGATGGTTCCGGTCGTAGTTGTCGTAACAGTTCCTACGTCCATAGGCGAGGACGAGAACAACAACGGTGATGGGTTTGACATGGAACTTTCATCCGAATCAGTATCAACAACTCTCGGTATTAGAAACGAGCTTGGCACAGAAGGAACTATATTTGCGGTTGTGGTTAGCAACCTAGGTAATACGAATCTCTTGGAGGCTATTGGCTGTGGTCCCAACGAACTCCTTAAGGTATCTAGTAGCCTCTTCCTTGAAGAATTGGCCACCGGTAGAGGAGACGTGCTCTTCCTGACTACTCTGCCCTTGATAAGTGAGCCTGTAGCCATCACTGATGTGCTTGTTGTGCTGGTCTTGGATTTCGAAGGTTCTCCAAGTACATCAGATAGGGTGCCTGGATTCTGTTTCTACCATTCACTATCGGTATCATCAATGGCTGACAAGGATGCTGCATATCTCCTCCTCTGATGCCTCGCAAAGTCAGTCTTCCTGCTAGTTGCATACGGACACAGATCACATAAGTACTCTTCCTCTGACGACCTTTTCTTTACACATGCTAGAACATGATCCTCTAATTTCTTCTCTGTGTTGAACCGTACTTGGCAAACTGGGCACCTCCATCTTGTCCGTGGTGTCTTCTTTGTGTTAGCCATCTGTAATTTAAGAGAAATCATTGTAAATATATACATGTATATACAAAATTATATGTTATGTACAGTTATACTCGTTCATTCATTTTGTGTGTTTTTTTGTTTTTTTTTATATATATATTTTTTTAATCTTGAACATAATCATTTAACCAAGTGGGAGGCTTCCTTTCCCGTCTTAATCTTGGTAAATTAATGTGTTCGTCTTGTGCAATGGTCTCATATCTATTCTCAAAATCAAATTCAATTGAGGCACTTTCGCCAACAACTTGGGCTTGATCGTTCATTTCGTACGTACGTCGACGAGCATCACACAAACTTGGATCAGCTTCTACCTTATGTGATGATGGCAACTCGCCCAAAATGTCGATGGCTATCCTTTCCATAGGGAAGCCTGACCTTTGAATCTGCATTGGCGCTCTCTTTCGTTTTTGTGGGCCTTTCCTTCTTACACAGGTCTCACATCCTGTTATGTAGGCCACCACATCACGACGCATTCCAGGCCAATAAAACCTGTCTTTTAATCTTCCTAATGTTTTTCTTATCCCAAGATGTCCCGAAGT